TTTTTTCCAGCAAGCATATACTGTAACATATCCGGAGTTTAAACATAAGCTTTACATCCATCCAAACAGAACAGAACAAGAAGTAGAAAAGCATTTTTAGATCTAATTCTTTGTTCTGCACTGACTTCACAGTAACTGCCCAGTAGCTAAAATGGTGCTTTTGCTTACAGAAAGGAAGCACCTTCCTAGGACCCAGAACAACTACACTGACATCCACCCATCCCATCCTGACACTCACACTCCAGGTGTACCCCGACATACAACAGCATTCTCAATTACAGCAAATATCTCATAACAAGGCATAGGGAGATGAAGCCATTTCTGACAAGGCCACGGAAGAAAATCTTTCTGACAGAGAAATGTTCTCTTTTTTAAGCAGCCAGTCACTCTCATGCACTGCAAAGGGCTGTCGAGCGTACCTGAGGGTTAGCAGCTTGTTCCATGATTTTTAGCAGCAAGGTCTGATCCTGCTCCCTCACCGAGTCCTTAGAGTCTCCCAGTCTATCAAGTAAACTTGGCAGCACTGAGGAAAGAAAACACGGATATCCAAATCCCTTCAGAAAACCGTTGCAGTGTCACAGCCCCTCTGCTCTCCCCAAGCCAAAGGAGGGACAAACCCACCCACCTTTCAGCAGAGGCTGAAGAGCCTCCTGAGTGCTCTCTAGGGGAGAAACAAGGCTTTATATACAAGGCCATAATGCTTCGTGTACAGCAGCCGAAGAGGATCCCACCAAAGTGATGGAGACATCCCTCCACTCACACACAGACCCCTTACCTGTGCCAATCTGGGCCTTGAAGCGATCCTGCAAGCGGGACACCAGCGCTGAGAGGATGTCAATGCCCAGGAGAACCACCTGCAAGCACAAGATAGACAGCGTTTGAGCACGCAGCCCCTCATCTCTGGCCCTGGCTGATGTACTCGAGAGGCAGGAGCCCTGGGAGAAGGGCCCCTTCCCACCCACGTCATTGGCACCGCTCACAGAGGTCATGGGTTGCACAGATGCACACAACCCCCCCTTGCATGCTCTCTAACATGCAGCCAGGGGGAGTTATCAAACAGCAAAGCCCCCAAATTATTGCTCCCTGTGACGTTTCCAATCCAAAACTCACTACAGAGAATCTGGCAAAGCCAGCAACTAATTGCTGTATGATGCTAAATTCATATATACAAGCAACATACACATACCGTACATGTAACAATTTCAGTATCTGCTGTAACTAACATTTCTAATTAATTTTAATTATTACACATAATTAGTAAACTCTGTGCACTAACAGCTGCCTAATTATCTGCTTGTAGAAAATTAAACGCAACACTTTCACGACATAACTGAAACTCAGGGAAAGGCCCTTTGTTGGAGAGACGCTTCAGGACTGGCAGCAGATCAGAAAATCTACTCTGATTAACTCCATTGAATAACAGCACAAAAAATCCCTATCATATACTGAATATACTGCATAGTTTGTAGAATAAATATTTGGCAAGACCCTATAGATGATGACAGCTCTGCTATGAGACAGCTCTGCGTATTTAGTGAGGTGGGGAAGTTGGTGTGACAGACAGCCAGGCTTCCGAGGCAGTGACACCAGGGCCGCGGCGGGCGAGCACCCCGCACATACACCCGAACGTACCGACGCGGCTGCTCGCTGGACGGACGGCAGGGGGCGCGCTCCGTCATCGCCACCGCGCGGCGCAGCTGGCCAGCCCCTTATG